AGAAGAAAAACGAATGAATAAAACAAAATCGAGCCACAAAAGTATGCTATTCTTAAGACGAAATAGGCTCATAAATTACCAATGGTTTATTGGTAACGCCTTCAAGATACAATTACTTTTAAATTTTTTTAGCGGTGAATACATTAGTCTTTGATATAATACTATTATTTCGGAACTCAAGAATGAAGAAACATAAGAACACCATATGAATATGAACTTGTATGCAAAAGAGCTCACATTTCAAGTCAATAAGAGTATCTTTAGGGCATCCACAACGGGGCATTAATTGACCCCGTTTAAATGGCAGTTGAACGTTCAAAGCGATGCAGTCATCCATTAAGTGCCTGGGCCCCTTAATTCGTTCATTGTTTTGAACGGCATCTTTTGGTGCTTTTTTTATTTTTTTATTTTATTTTTTTTTGTTTCATTTAATATTTAATTTTCTTTTGGTCCCATTGATACCGTTAATATGTTTCAACGGCTCTTTTGAGTCCTTTTTAATTTTTTTTTTATTTTTATTTTCCGCAGCTCTTTTTTTATTTTTTTTTAATTTTTTTATTCTCATTTTCTTGTCTATAAATACACTTTATTTATGTAATTGTACTGTTTTTTCTTGTGTAATATTAATTTAAGGTATTTTGGTCTTGTAGTGTTCTTTTATTTTCATGCATTTAAAATTTATTAATATAGTTTAAAAATGTTAAATTTTTATTTTTATTGAGAAAAGAATATTAAAATTTATATTGAATGAATGGATATAATGAATCCCATATTTGTATTTAAATGAATGTGTAGGAATGTGGGTGTGTGTTTAAATGGAGAGAGAATTAGTGAAAAAATGATGTGGATGAGAGAGAGTGTAACTTTTTTATTAAATGAATGACAAAAACATTAAACGAATGCAGATGCCCTTAGTGGGAGGTTTGACATGAGGTTTAAAAATATAAACCTCAAGGTTTAAACCTTCTGTTGGAGTGAGGTTTGAGGTTTAAATATATAAACCAGGTTTGAAAACATAAACCCCACACAAACCTCATATTGAGGGCCCACATTTGTACATATGTCTCTCAAGTTGGCTTTCTTTATTTATTTATTTTTTATTTTCAAAACTTTTTTTCTACGGTAGTTGGCTGCTGAAAATAAATGACAAATAATGCAAATATTCACAAATATTCTTATTTTTTTTCAATGATAAAATTATGNCAATATATCAAATCTAGTCGGCAACAAAGGTGGAGTCACCTCAATTGATGGGTGAGCTCGTACCCGATCTTAATTTTTTGATTATGCTTTGTTTATGCTAATAAAAAAATACTTTAAGTTATCTTATATTAAATTAGTCCAATATTAATTTTATTTTAATAAAAAATAAATTAGATGACCAACGAGATGTCCTAATTGGATTGTGCATAGAGCTATAAACGGTCGCGAGTAATCAAACTCACATTCTTGATCGCTGAGCTCCAACCATTTTTGCTAACTAATTAATCAAGTTGTCTACAAAATTTGAGTTCAGTCCATTTATCAAACTAACGAGTCGAGCTATTAACTAACGAACTTTTATATGGAATTTTGGACTCGACTTGTTATTAAAATTAACAAACTAAACTTAAGTCATAACAAATCGAACTCACAAATGATTTATTTCATTCATCAACTCCAGTTGTATCCAATAGAATTTTTTCTAACATATTTTAGACATCCAATTCGTCCCATCCTATTCTTGAATTTCCTCTTTGACCTAACAGATGGCATTCCAAGCCCTAACCGTAACAAATTCAGTAAATCCATCAATCAACCACAACAAACCAAGAATTTTTATAATATTTAACAAAAAATTCTCGACAGAAGTACAATAACAGAACTAAGTGCAATTCATGTCAGGTGCATACTAGAAAGGACTTGTACATTTTCAAAGGTCAAATCAGTCAACCCACGACTTGAAACTTAGCTGTATGGCCAATCTTTTAGCAACCAAAAACAATGCTTTTGAGTTACATAGTATATTAAACAAAGTGTTGACAAACGGATTTAACCAACGTAATTAAAATTTAAAACACTATGAAAGTTGCAGAAAATAGAGATTTTATTGAATTTGTTGAGGTCGGTTACAGAGTATGGTAAGTAGGTATTATAGTACAGGAGGTCGGTAACAGAGGAGACCGAGGTAATAAATGCTTAAATTTAATGTGTTGGGAGTGGATCCTCGTATCGACTTTAATGCTGATATTTATAGTTATATCTGGCACACCTTTCAAGAGAATTCGGCTGTATTTAATGCGGATTTGACGGTTTAGGGGCGGCTATGACGTTGGCAGGCTTTTTAGGCAATGATGGAAGCATGGGTGCTCCTTTAACTGAGTGACAGACGTCATTTCTGTCGGGGTAAAGTCGGATTTCTCGCGACGTCAGTCTTTCTACAAGATTTTAGCCTTCTACTACCTTCCAATAGACTCGTTTCGAACCTAGGTGATGATCCCGAGGTATTAGTATAATGCCTGGATAATCTTGAGGTCTTCCATTTGTATTTTAGAAACCGAGATGGTAATCCCGAAGTATCGATATGATACCGAGGTGGTGCCAAAGACCCTTATTGCAACTCGGACTCCTACTGATTAACCTTAACATTCTCTTAAATTTGTTCAGGATGTCCTTAATCTATGGTATTCGGTTTTGATGTCAACACAAAGCATTAAACTTTATGCAAATTATAATAATTATAGTATTAATAATAATACTCTTCACAAATTTCACCACTCGACAGGTCTTCTATTAGGCTGTGCGACCCAATCATTATAACATATTAGTGTTAAAAATGTAAAAACTTTCATTTGACATTGTCATACTTTAAAACATAACATAAATAAAGTTATGACAGTTGACAATATAAGTATGCATATTTTTGGTCAACTAATATTACGATCCGATCGGTCTAATGGTTAATTTGTCTTACATAAGTATTTGTGATCTCCATTTTATCTTATCATATTATTTTTGTACATGAAGAGCCCATAAAGCATTTAAAGCTCAGGACACAGAGCAAAAGAGATTCTTGTACAAAATTGGGGGGGCATTGGTTTTCTTTCTATCTTCACATTGTTGCATATACTTGTATAGATCTCGTTCTTTTTCTACACTTTTTTTCTCCATTGGTGCCTTACTTCCTTTGTGCAAAAACAAACAATTCCCATGGCATCCTCTTTATGTAAATTATAAATGTGTCTCCTTTTTTCCATTTCCAATTTGTTGTGGATTATATGCCTTTCTTTTATGGAGAAACTTTTTTGTAAGTGGGGTATATTCATTTATTTGGTTATACTTATTAGGTGTTCTTTACTTTGTTTATTGTTTGTTGGAAAAATTGGAAACTTTGGATGGGTTGTGTAAACTATAAAACTTTCATTTGGTTCACAATTTTTGTGCTTGGGGAGCACAATAAAGATTATATACCAAAAAAGAGTAAAGAATAAATTTTTAACAGTGTTATGTGGTGAAAATGTTATAAAGGGGCTGAACTATATAAAAACTTCGTTAAAAAAAGTTGTGTATATTTATATTATGAAATGATGAACTTTTTTAATTTAGTTAGAATATTGATAGTCGGATTTAACACTTAGACAACTATATTTTTTCAACAGATATGTATATTTCTAAATTGAAATGTCATAATTAAAAAACAACATAAATCAAAGTACGATATTTCATTGCATAAATATATAATTTTATTTAAAAAAAAGTATGACGGATCTACCCATTTAACGACTAATTCAACTCACCAAGAGTCTAGATCTTATAATATGTTAAATCAATGACTACTCTTAGACAGTCTGTGCTAACAATTAGACAACCATAGTTTTCTAAAAGATCGGTATATTTTTAAGTTAAAAACGTCGTACTCTACAAACAATCAACATAAAAAAGAATGGCATTTCATAATGTTAGAATTCATTTTGTTGCAAAAATATTACATGTCAACCCGCCTAACGATCAGACCTTCTCACATAAAAAAATATCATATTAAATATAGTAATTGTATGTTAAGTCCTTTTTATTTTTCTTTGTTTTCAGACATTTTATGATAAAATTATAAAAAAAAATGTTTTTTTTTCCTTAAACCGGTTCTAAGTTTTGTTATGGATTATCTGGCGAACCGGCCCGGCAAGGCCCGACCCGCTAGACGATAAAACCACCCCTACTTGGCGCGAAGGAGAAAATGAAAAACTAATTAACAAATTGAAAATCCTGCTTCATCTTTCACATTTGGCTACCTTTTCCTTTCCCTTTCTGTTTTCTGCGCTTATGCTTATATAGTTTTAGTAACCTGAGTTATCTTCTGATAATAATCACGCTTCCAACAGCTCTCTCTCTCTCTCCCTCTCTCACACACACACATTAAAATACTGTACAAAACCTCAGACGCTTTACAGTATCATCTTTTGGGCATTCGACTTTTTCCCCTGATTTTCAGCTCTTTACCTCTTCTTACTGTTTTTTTGCAGAAAAGAAATAAAGTGTGTAGCTTTGAGCGCGCTTATACGTGGGCTGTTCTTGTTTGTGTTTGTGCTGTGGCTATTTATTTGGGGTGCCCATTATTGTAACATCATTAATCTCGAATCCCATCTAATCACTTTTTGGGTACAGTAAATAAAGTTTCAACCTTTTTCACATTTTTGCCGTCTTTTCTGTGTTTTCTGTAATGATTTTGTGTATGATTTCTGTAATGATTTTGTATACGTGGTCTGTTCGTGTTTGTGTTTGTGCTGTGGCTATTTATTTGGGGTGCCCATTATTCTAACATCATTAATCTCGAATCCCATCTAACTAATCTCTTTTTGGGTACAGTAAATAAAGTTGCAATCTTTACTCAAAATTTTGCTGTTTTTTTCTAGTTTTGTGTATAGATTGTTGGGTTTGCGCTTAAACTGCGAGTGAGTGCTGAAAAAAAAATTATTTATTTTATTTTTTACCAATTTTTTTGCAGAGCTTGAGCATAAGAAAAAATGTCGAAGCCAGGGGCTGATCCTTCGCCACACCCGCCAAAAGAGCAGCTTCCTAATGTTCACTACTGCATAAGCAGCCATCCTCCATGGCGTTAGTATTTTTAAAGATCTTTTTTTTTTTTTTTGGTTTATTTCGTTATTTATTTGTTTTCTTGAAAATTTTGAATTTATAGAGATGGTGAATTTATAATCATTTTGCTAAGTAGTTGCTTTTCCCATTCCCTTTCTTCTTTTGGTTATAGACTCTGTACATATGTGTGTGTATGCATGTGTATCATGATTCTGTACATGTTTGGCCAATTTCTTGTATATTGATGAAATTTAAGATCACATATGATTTTTCTGAGCTTTGCCTAAGTTTGCTTTTGTTTTGTTTTCTTCTTTTGTGTAGAAATGATCTCCTTTTCTATTTTTCTTGTTTTTTTTGTTCCATTTGTTTTGCTACTGCTTACTGAAAACTATGTGATCACACTTCAATCTATGTTCTTTAAACTTAATCAAAATATGTAACTGCATTTTTGCCTTCAGTTTGGGTGTAGTGCAATGCATAAAAAAGCAATCTTTTCTCTTTTCACTAGATTTTAGTTATTTTGATACTACACAAATTTTAATGATGTTGTCTTAATGTTTGTGATTGCAGCTGAAGCTATCCTTCTGGGATTCCAACATTATGTGGTCATGCTCGGCACAACCGTCATGATTCCTTCGGCCCTTGTTCCTCAAATGGGAGGAGGAAATGTAAAGCCTATTTTCTGAAAACACAATTTCATTTTTAATCAATCTTTATAAACTATAATCATTTGCTTTTTTCCTTCAGGAGGAGAAAGCAAAGGTTATACAGACTTTGCTGTTTGTTTCTGGTCTAAATACTCTGTTACAGTCATGGTTCGGAACCCGTTTGCCTGTAGTGATTGGAGGATCTTACACCTTTGTGGCCCCCACAATCTCGATTATCTTGTCCGGAAGATGGAACGATCCAGATCCTATATCGGTTTGTAGTCTTAATTTAGCTCGAGAAGATTTAATTTAGCTGGCAAAAAAGTAGTGTCAAATTCTAACTTTTCTTATGCATAATTTGATCAAGATTTAGAAGAAAAAAAAAACTAGGGAAAAATGTGCTTAAGTTTCTGATTATGCATCTTGTTCGACTCGTTAACTTCTATTTGCAAGAATTGTCTACTTAGCATTCACATAACAATTTCCTTCTGTTAAAATAAACTTGTTATTTCGAAATCATATTCGAATATGAACTTATTGATTGCAAAAATGGTCCTTTCAGAGGTTCAGGAAGATAATGAGGGCTAGCCAGGGTGCATTAATCGTTGGCTCGATAATTCAAATGGTCTTAGGCTTTAGTGGGCTTTGGCGTAATATCGCAAGGTTTTGTTTGTTATCACTCATAATCATAGCGAACAATATTTTACATCTACGTGTCATTTTTTCTCATGCTTGTGCTATATTGCTTACACTTTACAGGTTTTACAGTCCTATTTCAGTTGTTCCTTTGATTGCCCTTTCGGGTTTCGGGCTCTATGAACTCGGTTTTCCCGCTGTACGGCTTTTCAAGCTATATTACAATTTACAACTGAATTTGAATAATACAAACCATTAAACCATTAAATCTAATATCTTTTTTCTTTGACTGTGTAAGGTTGCTAAATGTGTGGAGATTGGATTGCCTGAGCTCATCCTCATGGTTTTCTTTACTCAGGTATAACATAGCTAACTTTTTACGGTTTTACTGAGTTACTTTTTCAGCTAGATTATTAATGTTATATATATTTATTGTGTTAAATGCAGTATCTACCGCAAATGATAAAATCGGGAAAGATTGTCGTTGAACGGTTTGCAGTTATTATTACTGTGGGAATTGTTTGGCTTTACGCACATTTACTTACTATGGGTGGAGCTTACAATCGAGCAGCAGATAAAACGCAAGCAATGTGTAGAACTGATCGAGCTGGGCTTATCGATGCTGCTCCTTGGTGAGTTTTAAATTTTCTGCTTCAATTTTTAGTAAATACAAAATTGGCTTATTATCTAAAAAGGCTCGGTTTTTTAATGCTGTTTTGACGTGCAGGATAAGAATACCATATCCTTTTCAATGGGGAGCACCTTCGTTCGATGCTGGCGATGCATTTGCCATGATGATGACTTGTTTTGTTGCTCTTATAGAGGTCGATTNAAATAATTAAATCCTATTTTTTTTAAAGAAAAGGAGAAATCTTTACGTGTTTTCCTCTGTTTTATGCAGTCGACCGGTGCGTTTATAGGCACATCTCGACTTGCAAGTGCAACCAATATGCCACCTTCGATCCTCAGTCGAGGCATAGGCTGGCAGGTAAAAAATATACTATATTTTTATGAATTTTTCCTTATTTATTATTTTCAAATATTATTATTTGCATGCATGATTTGTGTTTTTTCTTTCTGACATATGCCAGGGTGTCGCGATCTTATTGTCCGGGATGTTTGGAACTGCGAACGGGTCATCTGTATCAATGTAAGAACTAAGAACTCATAATCCAATCTCTGCATGATTAGTTTTTTCTTTACAAGATTTCATATTTTTTTATATAAGAAGATAAAATAAAAATTCCCTTTTGTGTGCATTCAAACTGCAGCGAAAATGCTGGCCTAATCGGACAGACACGTGTGGGCAGCCGAAGGGTCGTGCAGATATCTGCTGCATTCATGATCTTCTTTTCTATTCTTGGTATAATATTCGAAACTCGATTCTGTCATTTCATTTATTTCTTTACTGTTATTTTCATCTTCCGCAACTTTTCTTTTTTTCTTCACTACAGGGAAATTCGGAGCAGTTTTTGCTTCGATCCCATCATCAATTATGGGTGCATTGTACTGTATATTCTTTGCCTATCTCGGTGAGTAATCGTTTAATTTCCTTTTTTTCATAGTCTGTTTTTTATTCGGCGAACTTTATTTTTACTTTCGTTTTCCACAGGTGTTAGCGGTTTAAGCCTTCTCCAATTCTGCCAACTCAACAGCTTTCGAAACATGTTCATTTTGGCACTCCCGATTTTCTTGGGCCTTTCCGTGCCACAGTATTTCAACGAGTACACGGCTGTTAAGGGATATGGCCCGGCCCACACTTCCGGTCGATGGGTATGAATGAACTATATGAACACAAAAATCTTTACAAAAAAAAATAAAAAAAAAATAGCAACTTTAGTGTCTTAACTATGTCTTAAATTAATCGCAACCATTGTTTTTTCGGGTACTTTTTCAGTTCAATGACATAGTTAATGTCCCGTTTTCATCAAAGGCATTTGTGGCGGGTATTTTGGCGTATTTACTGGACAATACAATGGAGAAAAAAGATGCACAGGTAAGGAAAGATAGAGGAAAACACTGGTGGGATAAGTTTAGCGCGTTTAAAACCGATTCGAGAAGTGCAGAGTTCTATTCGCTTCCGTTTAACCTCAACAAGTATTTCCCGTCAGTGTGAAAATTATTTACCGTGTCGACTGATTGATTCTTGATGATTTAAGCTTTCTTTTTTTATTTAGTTTTCTGCTTATTTATGTAGCTCTTGAGTAAGATGAATTTGCCTGCATTTTAGATCTTGTTGGACTTGAAAATATGTTGTTTTGGGGGCAGTATGAAAAATATCAAAATATTTAACTAGCCTGACCATTTGTAATTCTTGCTGATTTAAGCTTTGTTTTATTGAGTTTTTCTGCTCATTGTGTAGCTCTAAGTAAGATGAGTTTTTCTGCTTATTATGTAGCTCTAAGTAAGATGAGTTTTATTGCATTTTGGATCTTATTGGACTTGCAAACATTTTGTTTTGGGCAGAATATCAAAATGTGACTTGTCTGATCATTTGAAATGAGGCATGTTATTTGGCTGCTCTTGAGTTTGATCTTATTGATAAATTTGAGGTTTTATTTCTAAATAGAATGGAAAATCAAGATCTTGAAATTTTGGCCATACAAAAGTCAGAAAGAAAAAGGAACTAATTTNGGTATACAAAATTCAAGGTAATTGACTCATAAAATCAATGTTTTGAACCTAAAAACAAAAAGTAGGAGAAAAAAAATAATAATAATCAAAAGCACCAGAAATCCAGATTTTGTTGTCTCAGTTTTACAGTTTCACTATGTAAAAAGTTAATATTTTGTCTCACAAATCCATAGTTTGCTGTAATTAATCAAAATTTTCTTGTCTCTGTTAAAAAAATTATCACATGGTAAAGGGCTGATTAATTGACTTGGGTAACATATATATAATATAAAATGCATTAATTAACCTTAAAAAGAAAAAAGAAGAAAAAGAAAGAAAGTACACACACGTAATCCCTGAAATCAAGAACTTGAACCTCTTCATGAGCCGTGTGAATCTATATTTTGACTCGGTAGAAAATCTTTGTCATGTTAAAGATGGAACAATGACTAGGAAAACACACGTTTGCATAAAGGGAAAAGATAAGGAAAAATAAAAATAAAACTACACAAGTGCATATATATATTGATGATTGGATCAAAACTCTATTGTAATTAATTTGGATACAGATAAGATAACCCCTAATTCTAATAGCACTTCCATAATAAAGGGGTGTATTCAATTAGGATTTCTAAGGACTTTTAAAGACTTTAGAAATCCTGGTGTATTCAATTTAGATTTGTTAAGACTTTTAAAAATCTTCGGGTATTCAATTGAGATTTTAAAAAGTCTTACAAAATTCTGAGGTATTTAATTTATTTGACACTAGGATTTGTTATGACTTTTTAAGATTTAGTGGGAGATTGTTAGTGTTAAAATGTCACTTTAAATCCCAATTGAATACACATATGTATATATATTTTATTATAATTATTTAATCAGTGTAATGTGCCCAACAAATCCAAGTATTATCTAACTTCCACCTGTATGTCGTCTTTTGAGTTTCGCCACAAGTTTTATAGTGATTTATTAACTCTATCTATTTAGCATGGATAAGTGAGATTACAGAATCTAAAAACATTAACTAACAAATTATGCATGGGATTCCAAAGGATCATAAGAGAATATTAGAAATGAATCTTGATCTAAATCCTTGCATAGGATTGGGAAAAATTGCAAAATATACCTGACAATGTTCTGCGGTAATTTATGACATCGCAGAAAATTCTACTAATTAATTAATTCCTCTAGTATTTTATCCAATCATGTGAGTTAGAAAATATTTTTTTCAATTGATCGGTGTACAGTTTTGGCTTTTTTTGTCATATTGTGCTCAATTGTTATCATTTAATGAGTTT